TATTTTGCAAATTGTCCCTTCTGTTTCCTAGAAATAGGTACTACTAATTCTGGAGAGTGTTTCTGAGTATCTTTACAGATAGTCCATTACTAGTGATATGAACTCACTACCTCCTTTAATGTCATTTAGAACATTAAAATAAATGAGATGTGGTGCCTCTCTACATTCATATAATGTATAAGTACAAATGCCCCCAAATAAAAGATCTTACCTTTTATTTCTGTCCTCCGTGGTGCTTGGAAGAATGTTGATTATAAAAAAAGAATTGTTGAGAGAGAGAGAGAGAGAGAGAGAGAGAGAGAGAGAGAGAGAGAGTGTGTGTGTGTGTGTGTGTGTGTGTGTGTTAGAGTTCCAGGGATTCTCATTGCACATTACTGGACTACTATAAATAAGGCAAAACCCTTGGAAAGGAAACACTCCACCTCTGAGGACACTACAACTAACATGCTGCTCCTCAGGAGCAGAAGTTGCAGAGATGGACGTCAGTGAGGCAAAGTAGAGGCTCAGGTGCTGGGGCTCGGGGACTGCACTTTTAAGGACTAAAAGTGGAAGACAAAGCAAGAGAAATGTTGATATGGAAATCTTAGTGGAAAATGAATTTTCCTATTATGGATCAGAATGGCAGAAACCTGCAATACCCAAAGAACATCTGGAAACAGAAAGTGGTTGGCTTTGTGGGAAAAAGTGTTCAGGAATGGCTTGGAAATTCTAAAGCTAATTCTCCCTATAAGAGCTGGTCAGGTCAACAAGTAAGGAAACTGGCTGTACCTTGGGCATTTCAAAAAACCCAAAGCTTTGCCTTGAGACAATGACCATCAAAAACCTAATAGTGAGAGGAGGAGGAGGGAAAAAAACTTGTTTTATACGAGTTGGCAGTGGCCTTTCCAGGCTGTTCTTTTGAGAGGATGTGACGTAATTTCTGTGCTGCTCGTTCTGAAGCACACCTAGAACAACTAAACGATTAAGCTGGCAGGCTTTCTGACACGGAGTAGATGTTTCTGAAGTCCCTGACAAAGTAAAGAAAAACAAAAGTACCTCTTTAGGATGAAGGTAAATATAAGCTTATCATTAAACATGGACACTTCTGAGAATGAAAGAGGACAATATTAATAATTACCCTGGGACTACAGGCATCAAGTAGCGCAGTCCCTGTCAAACAAAGCATGAAGTATGGCAAATTTATCAAGCACCATGAGAACCAAAGAACAGATGGCAGTTCTCACTTAATAAGGCCAACCATGTGGTACAAAGTCTAGGTAGACAGTAGGCATGTTGAGGCTGAGAAACAACCTGGGGGAAAATGTGTGAAGGGGAAGCTGGGGTGGGATAGATTCAGTAGGAACAAATATGGAAAGGAGGTGAGGATTAGAGCTGGAAGTACATCCAGGTTGAGTATCTCTAACCCCAAAAGCCCAAATCTGAAATGCTCCAAGATCTGAAACTTTTTGAGCACTGACCTGACACCATAGGTGGTAAATCCTACAAATAGAACTTTGTTTCACGTACAGTTATTAAAACTATTGTACACAATTACCTTCAGGCTAGGCTTATAAGGTGCACATGAAATTTAAGTGAATTTCAGGTTTAGACTTGGGTCCCCTTCCTAAGAGCTCATATGGACATGCAAATATTACAAAAGCTGAAAAAAAATCCCAAATCTGAAACATTCTGGTCCCCAGCAATTCAGATAAGGGATACTTAACCTATAATATGCCATACTGAGTCGCACACAAGGTGGGTTCCAAACCGCCTCTCCAGCTCACCTTGCATCATTTCTATGCTCAAAATCTACCTCCTCACCACAGCAGATATCAGTTTGCTGCTTCTCTCTCTCTCTTTTGTGTTGCTGGTGCTTGGTCTCAGGACATGCTAGGCTAGTGCCCTACCACTAAGCCACATCCGCAGCCCTGGGCTCTTTCTTTGATGTGGTTCTTTGCAGTTTCCTCAGCTCAGAGCACTCTACTAGCCACTCCCACCCCACCAGTTTTGTGTCCTTACCTCCCACAATTCCATCACCTCCCCTTTGTCTCTTCACCAGACTCCCACTTTGCCTTGGATCTTCCTTTCTCAGGCTCTTCCCATTTATATTTTATTTGATGGATACCTGTCTTGTCTAATTTGTTCAATGCTCTATTCCCATTCAGGCCGGGCTTATAGTTCATTCTCAAAGATATTTATTGACTGGGCTGGGGATGTGGCTCAAGTGGTAATGCGCTCGCCTGGCATGCACGTGGCGATGGGTTCGATCCTCAGCACCACATAAAAATAAAATAAAGATGTTGTGTCCACTGAAAATTGAAAAATAAATATTGAAAAATTCTCTCTCTTCTCTCTCTCAAAAAGAAGTAAGGAAAAGGATTACTGGGGCATTTTCTTTAATATATATATTTATTGACTGAATAGATTACATAAAAGTAAAGCAAGATTCCTGCTCACCCCACTCCCCCTGCCCCCCAAAAAAACAGTTTAAGAAAAATTCCAGGTAATAAACTGCCTAAGCCTGAAAAAACATTAAAAGACAAACATGAAGCTTATTATTAAGTATTTTTTTTCTTTTTCTTTTTTTTTTTTTCTGAATGAATATCTTAAGTACAATTGTTGGCAGCAACCCTGAGCCATTCATGTTTAGAAGCAGCCCAAGACCCTTGTGGAAGCCTGAGTCAATGTGACATTGGCCTCTAGTGGATGAAATTGAGAATACAGCCTTTCCTAGTCAAAGGTCCTTGTAGCCCTAGCAATGACTGAAGGAAATGAAAAATCCCATAGTTCCCTTTATTTTTCTCTTCTACAGTGTAAACTGAGATTTTTAAAAGTTCTGTTCTTTTCTTCCTTTATCCATTTCAGGGAGAGCACAGCATCAAATTCCTGCCTCAGTTAAATACTTAGCATTGGGAACATTAGTGTCTAGAAACATTCACATCACAGCTTCTCTGAGAGAAGCTAAGTGTGAGAGTGTAAGGTTTTATAGCAAGTGTAAGGTTAAAACCATATATATATATATATATATATATATAATAAATACTTTTTCCTAAGTGATATCTTATCCAATATCTATTGGGATTGTAGGGTTGGAAGCTACCAGACATTCCGGAAACAGAGTGCATTTTAAACCATCTGCTAATCAAAGGGTAAATATAATGTGTGTGACAGGAGAGAAAAACTGAGACCAAAGAAGGGATGAATTTAAATTAGAAGTAGATAGCAAGGGTGTGGGGGAAAAAGGTACACTGATTCATTGCTGGTGGGATTGCAAAATGATACAACTACTTTGGAAAGCAGTATGGAGATACCTAGAAAATTTGGAATGGAACCACTATTTGACTCAGCTATCCCACTTATAGGTCTATACCCAAAGGGCTTAAAAGCAGCATGTTACAGTGATGCAGTCACCTCAATGCTTATAGCAGCTCAATTCATAATAGCTAAACTGTGAAAACAGATGCCCTTCAATAGATAAATGGATAAAGAAACTGTGGTATATATACACAATGGAATATTACTCAGCTTTAAAGAAGAATGAAATTATGATATTTATGGGTAAATGGACAGAATTGGAGAATATCATGCTAAGCGATATAAGCCAATCCTCAAAACCAAAGGCCAAATGTTTTCTCTGATAAGTGGTTGTGGATCCATAATGGGCCAGGGAGGTCAGTGGAGGAAGAATGGAGGAACTTTGGAATGAGCAGAGGGAAAGGAGGGATGGGGAGGGGGAATGTGTGTGTGTGGGAAGATGGTGGAATGACATGGACATTATTACCCCTAGGTATGGGCATAACTGCACAAATGGTGTGACTCTGCATTGTGTACAACCAGAGAAATGAAAAGTTGTGCTCCATTGTGTAAAAAGAATACAATAAAAATAAAAAAATAGTAATAAATAAATAAATTACAAGCAGATGCAAATTTGAGGTGCAAATACATGAACTGTTTTTTTCTAAACAAACTGAATGATAATGCTCATTATTATTCACTTTTCCCCTCTTATTAGGTAGATGACCTAACATGGTAAAATCCTGGAATGGGCACAGTGTACATTCAGTCCTGGTGAGAAGCTTCTAGCTGCTCTTGCTCATGGAATAGCCTGTCATCACTTTTCAATCTCTAGGTTTTTTAAGGACACTACCGCCCACTTGCCATACTCAAATACTTAATAAACATCCTTAAATTTTTCTTTATTGGTATGCAGGCAGCTGCTGCTCAGGAAAGAAAATCTTTGCAATCAAAATAATTGCCTCAATAAAAAGGTGGCTCAAAGAGGGGAGGAGATGACACAGAACACAACAGAGGGGGCCTTCTTGGTGCATTCCTGACAGGCAGCAGGACAGCAAGGATCACCCTTGAGAGCTGCTATTCAGTCTGCCTCAGTTCATTCTCCAGAGCAAGGCTGGGAAGGATGCTGAATTCTCTGATTAGAACTGTTCAAATTCAAATGTACAAACAAATCATGTGCCAGGTAAACAAAAGATGCTTGGATACCTGCCTGTGGACTCTGTTTTCCAGCCAAGGCTCCCTTTTCACTAGTGTGAATCACATGACCAACCATGGTCAAATAGCTGTTCTCAGATCAGAGTTGACTAGGAAGCCTACTTTTGAGCACTTTACTGAACTCTGTTTCCCCAAACACCTGGACTTCATACGCATGTGTAAAACAGACGGCAACCAGCTCACATTTCCGCCAAGTAGAACTGTGCCAGCCGGCATCAGTATGAGTCTGATGAAATGGAAGTGATAAGGCAGAAGACATCTAATAAGCCGAGGACCTCGTGTGCTGCTAGCGTTCCCTTTTCCTCTTCTTTTTAATTTTTGCAAGCACTTGGGCCAGGAACTCTATCTGGCCACCAACTTTTGCTGAGAATGGACGCCCAGTTATAAAACGGACATGTCCACATGCAACAGGCGGTGCAACCAGGTCCTTTTGGACCAGCTTCCAACAAAGAAGGCTTTGACTCAAGTGACCCCCGGGGGCCCTGGTCCCCTGGACTATTCGCGATACCTACCATCTCCTTGAAGGCGCTTTCCAGAGCCCCGATGACCAGGCACTCGTGTGGGATCTTCTTCTCCGTGAAGAAGCGCGTGGGCGGGGTGCTGGGGGAGCCCGGGGCGCCCACCCCTCCGCGCAGGGAGGCGGCGCGGGTCAGGGTCCGGCTGTTGGCGGGTGTGTTCTCGGGCTCCTCTCCCAGGCAGGTCGGGGGCAGGACGGCAGAGTTCTTCAAGATCTCCACAATGTCCTGCAGCTGCTCTGTGACATGGTGCTGCAGCAGGCGCGATGCCACCACGGCGGCCCCGGACCCCGCATGACCATCAAACAGCGACCAGTAGTGGCAGGAGACGCCCTCGGATTCCTGGTGGGACAGAGCGACAGGGAGGAGTGAGAAGGGCAGTATAGCCTCTGTCCCAGGACCATGTTGACACTGCTAGGACTAAGGGACTCTGTGTCCACTTGGTAGTCTCTCCTCTGAAGATGGCGGGATTAAAACATGGCTAAAATGCTCAGAGAAGGGTCCCCAGATTAGTCACTGCTGTGACTGCCACCCAAGAGATGAAGTGGTGCGCCCAGAGGAGAAGCCCACATTATCACATACGTGGTTACTACTTGGAAGGCAAGATCTGCTTTTTAATTCCATGCACATAGGGTTTTCCATAAAACTCCATACCAAGAGTGGAGGCCTCCAGGAATCCTGCTTTAACATCTAACTTCCCACCTCCCTGTGATTTCAACCCCAGATTAGGTTTAGTCTGGAATCTTTGGAGAAAGTTTGGCCTTTTTATAAGTAACAAGTAGACATACATTACCCCCCAAACCCCCCCCCCCCCCCCCCCCCACACACACTTTAGAACCCTATACTAAGATAATTGTCCCATCCTCCTTGGTCTATATCCTGAATTCCGATGACATATTCTCTTCCTAGTCAGAGTCTGGTCCAGGCCCCATGAGAGGCAGCCAGTTCAAAACTGCTTTCCCCATCTCCCTTGGTTCTCCAGCAGTTATCACTGACATCCTTCTGTTCCCTCTTCCTTGAATTTATGCAGTTTATGATCCCTCCCCCATGATGGACTAAACCATGTTTAAGTTACACACGCCTAAGATCTTGGCTCTAAGAGTGAGAGTTGAACTATGATTAAGTGAGACTAGAGAGGCCCAAAATAAACCCATGTGTATAGGGTCAACTTGCAGAAAAGCCAAGAATACACACCAATAAATGGTGTTCAGAAAACTGGATATTGACATGCAAAGGAATGAAATTGGGCCCTTACATCATATATATAAAATTAACTCAAAATGGCTTTAAAGGCATAAAGGGAAGACCTGAAATCATAAAACTCCTAGAACACAGAACAAAATAACTCCTCAACAAAGATCTTGGAATGATTTTTTTGAATGACACCAAAGCAAAGAAAAAGAAAAAGAAAAAAAAAAAAGAAAGCAAAACAAAAACAAGTAGTACTACAAACCTAAAAGCTTGCAGAGGTGCCAATCACCAAAATGAAAAGGGAGCTGATGGAAGGGGAGAAAACATTTGCAAACCATGTGTCTGATAACGTATGAAGAGCTTGAACAGACATTCCTCCAAAGAAGAAGTACAAGTGGCCAACGCCTGTATGAACAAGATGCTCACCACTAGCCATGAGGAAACAATGAGGTGAGAATAAAGGAGACCTTCACCAGGCATGGTGGGACATGCCTGTAATCCCAGAAACTCAGGAGGCTGAAGCAGGAGGATCCCAAGTTCGAGGCCAGCTTCACCAATTTAGAGAAGCCCTAAGCAACTTAGGGAGACTGTGTCTCAAAATAAAAAATAAAAAGGGCTGAGGATGTGACTTAGTGGTTAAGTGCTCCTGGGTTCAATCCCTGGTACAGAGAGGGAGGAAGGCGGAGGGGGGAGGGGACACCCCTTCCATAGTCAGATAAAGAGAGTCTACAAGAAACCTACAGCTAACATCAGACTTTATGGTGAAATACTAAGTACTTTTCCCCTAAAATTGGGCAAAAAAAACAAAAAATGTGCTCTCACCACTTCTATTCAACTCTGTACTACATACAGGTCCTATATAAGCTTGAAGACTGTAAAGGAAAGTAAAACTGAATTTAAAATTGAACAATTTGATTATGGTGTGCCTTGGTATCATTTTATTTGTGTTTTGTGTTCTTGGTATTTGTCATTTTTGAATCTGTAAGTTTATAGCTATTTTATCAAATTTAGAAAAATCTCAGATTGCATTTCTTCCTTTCCTCTTTTTTTTTTTTTCCCTTTTTTTGAGGCTAGGAATTGAACTCAGTACATTGCCCATGTTGCACTAGCACTTGCAAGTGTTCTACCACTGAACCCTGAGCTCTGCCCAAAGCCCCTAAGCCATTATTTCTCTCTTCTTTAAGAAATCTCATTACACACATATTAGTCTACCTAGATGTCGTCCCAGGTTTAGGAAGGATGCTTTCATTTTTAAAAGTTTCATTTTGGCCAATTTCTATTGCTATGTAAAGTTTACTAATTTTTTTTCCAACTTTTTCTGTTTTAATTTTAAAGTGAGAAAAGGATTGAACAGATTTTTTTCAAAGGAAGATTTGCAAATGGCCCACAGGAATATAGAAAAGTGCTCAACATCACAAATCATCAGGGAAATACAGATCACAGCTTCATGCCTGTCAGAACGGCTACTACAAAAATATTAATAAAAGATAAATGTGAGTAAGGATGTGAAGGAAAGGAAAGCTTTGGTTTTAGGAATGTAAATGGGTATAGCTATTATGGAAAACAGTATGGAGATTCCTCAGAATATAAAAAAACGAAACTACCATATGATCTGGGTTCATACCAAAGAAAATAAAATCAGTACCTCAAAAAGATATCTGTGCTTTCAAATTCACTGTGGCATTACTTACACTAGCTAAGATATGGAAACAACCTAAATATCCACCCATGAAGATGTCATAAGGACATGAATGGACAAAGAAAACATGGGATCTTATTCAGCTATAAAAAGAGGGAAATTCTTCCCATTGCAACAACATGGATAAATCTGAGGATGTTAAGCTAAGTGAGATATGCCAGGCACAGACAGGCAAACGCTGCATTATTTTCCCTCTATGTGGATTGTAACACTGGATATTGACATGCAAAGGAATGAAATTGGGCCCTTATATCATATATAAAATCATGAGAGAATCATGATTTCCAGGAGCTGAGGGATGAGCGAAGGGGAGATAATGTGGTCAAAGGTTATAAACTTTCTGTGATGAGAAGAAAAAGAATGTTATCCTTATAACACAATAATGTACACAATGCGACCACAGTTAACAATACTGGATCACATATTTCAAAATATCTATGAACTGGTAGTTATGTGAGGTGACAGATGTCTTCATTAACTAGTGGAAATCATTACAAATCATCACACTGTACACCTTAAATACATATAATTTCAGTCACATATCTCAATACAGGTGAGGAAAAATTTACATGTGAAAAAAGTATGCTATAACCAGAGGGTTAGGATATTAAATTCTAAGATTAAATAAACATTTGAGATCTTTATTTTCAGAAAACTGATAAAGATATGGGCAAGGTGCATATTACATCTATTTCTAACTAATAGGTCTATCTGACCCACAGTAACAAATAATGAAGTCTTTTCAATTTTATTTTTTTAAGTTGAAGTCATCAAATAAAGTTCTTCTGGCTTATCTTAGAACAATGCTAGAAAATGCTGCGGTGGCTCAGCAGTAGAGCACTTGCCTAGCACGTGCGAGGTGTTGGGTTCAATTCTCAGCACCACATTAAAAATAAATAAATAAAAAAATAAAGGTATTGTGTCCAACTACAACTAAAAACAAAAAATTAAAAAAAAGAAAATGCTGTGTAGTTAGTGTAACAGTATGCCATTACTCTCTGCTCTTTCAAATACTGTTTTCATTTAATTCTATGCTAGGTAATGAGATGAACTCATTGTTTATTAGTTAATAAATATTTACTGAGCACTTTTTATATGATAGGCACTATAGCAGACAGTGAGATTAAAAGACTAGTTCAAGAGATATCAGACAGGGGCTGGGGCTGTAGCTCAGCCATAGCACACTTGCCTGGCATGAGTGAAGGACTGGGTTTGATTCTCAGTACCACATACAAATAAATAAAGGTCTATCAACAACTAAAAAAAGAATTAAAAAAAAGAGATATCAGATATAACCTAGTCTTAACAATCCAGTAGAGAAGATGCTAATCAAATAATAACCAAAATAAATGGGAGATCACAAGGAGAGGTTCTTGGTGCCATGAGACCAGCCTATATTGACGGTTACACTGGAGATGATGTCATAAGGACATGAGGATCAGGCTGAGGGCTGCATGGCAGTTCACAAGATGAGGAGAAGAATGGAGAGACTGCCAGACAGGAGCAATAGCAGGTTCAAAGGCTCTGTGGTGGGAAGGTGCATGAAGAGTTAAAAGGAGACTAAACCATGGCTCCTTGGCTCAATGTGGGGAGTAGACAGGAAAAGGGGGAGGAGGAGGAGGAGGCTGGAGAAAGAAGTAGTAGTTAGACTACTCAGTCCTTACAAAATGCATGAGGGATCTTGGCCTTTAGTCCGAGAGTAATAAAAAGCCATGAATTGAGTGAGAATGACAAAATTGATTTGTTTTAAAAAGGCCACTCAATCCATACTGTGAGGATTAAGAGAGAAGAATAAAAGTGAAAGTATCAATCTTACTCTAAAAGAAAAAAAAAAAAAAAAAAAAAACAACCAAATTCTGGCAGGAAAAAAACACACAAGAATAATAAAATCACCCTAAAGCAGGCATCCAAACTCAGAGGCAAGCAAAGTGGAAAGAACAAGGACTTCACTATTAGGAGGTTTGGATTTGAATCTCATCTTCCACACCAATCAGCTGAGAGGTCGGCAGTGCCAGGCTAGGGCGGCAGCAGGGGCTGGACCCTGGCTGGGTGGGGTGCCAGCTGGCTGCCCCTGTTGCTTAACAAGTCTTTGCCATGATTTCCGAACATGCAAAATGCAGGTGCTGGTTGGTTACCTGATGGGGAGTGTATGGGAGGGCTAAAAGGCAATTTATGTCAAGTGACTGGCTAAGCAGCATGTGGGGAGCAGTGTGCAGGTGTAGCTGCGACCACTGCCATCAGGACAAGGTCTGTGTAAGTTGTTCTCTGCACTTCAGCTTTCCACCGAAAGGCGGGGCCGCCCAAAGGACTCCCGTGAGTCTGCTGATTCCAAGTTTTCTCCACTGAAGAAGTTGGGGAAGAACTTGGGCCTTGAAGACAAGACAGACACAACTGGGAAGGACTGCAAGGTGACATGGAAGGCAGCACACTGGCAGTCCGGGAGTGCTGAGTC